AATATAAACTAGTGAAATAATGTTTGTTTCAAAAGGGAGGGCAGGACCTGCCAGTCTAGGACTGTGGAATAACCCAGGCACCTGGTAACATCTTCCTACATCCTCTGTGGCTGAATTGGGAAAGGCCAAGTGCGTCCCCAGTAACATTTTCTTAACTACTCGAAGCAATACTTGGGAGAGAAATGAAAACTTTGTATGAGTACTGATCCTGCCAGCAGGGCTCCCTCTGCCTGGAAATTGGGCCAAACACCTGTGCTGAAAGACTACCTAGAGAAGCTACTATGTGAATTTTTATTTGATACTGTACTGAAAAATAGTGTCTGTATCTCCAGAGAAAGAAAATAGAACTTAAAGTCACTTAAAAAACCCTCAATCCAACAAACGAATGCTACTGGAAACTTCTGCCACTACAGTTTTTATGAAAAAGCAGTAGAGAACTAAAGGAACTAAAGGAAGCACAGAATGTATGTGCTTTTGGTTTTTCCTTTTTTGAGAAACTCTTTTTTTGGCCTCAGTGTATCAAGAACCTGAACTCAAGTGTCCAGGCAAGAAAAATCTCCCTGAAAAACAGGATGTAATCCATCACATGCAGCACAGAGGCTGTGACTGCTCTACTTGCAAACAAAAGTGGTCTGTAACTAAAAAAAATTATTGAAATATATTTTCAGCATTTATGCACTTGAAATTTCTCTGCTAAGTAGCACCCTGAATATGAATCCTACATTTTCTCCTACTAACCGAATATAACTCTGTGTTTCTTACTCCCCACAGCTACAAAATGTAGCAGCAATGAAGGTATGTCCTAAAATGTTTAAAAATATAATAGTCCTCTCTTTCAAAGGCAGTAAAAATGAACCCTAAATTGTTATTCCAGGAACTTTTTAGTGTTCATTCATTTTAATTTAGTTTTGGAAGTGGTAGAAATGGTAGTATTGTAGCTGGAAAACACAAATGCCACCTCCTTTTGGATCTTCCTCACATTTCCTTGTGCTATTTCCATGCTCCCCAGCATCAGTGTCATCACTTTATACTGACGCAGTTGTCTTTCACCCCCATCAATCTTTTTCTGGTAGAGACTGCAAAAAACCCCCTGGTCTAGCACAAAAAAACCAAAAAACAACAACAACAAAAAAACCCAAACCCAAACCAAACAAAAAAAGCCCCCAAAAAACAACAACAAAAACCAAAACCCAAAACAAAACAAACCCACAAACACTAAAACAAAACAAAAAAACCCCACACCTTTTCCTTTTGACTATGCTGCAAACCATGATTGTTACAGGAATGTTTCTGACTGTCAACCATTTCCACTTTGCAGAAAAAAAAAGAAGCACAGTCTAATTTCACAAAATATGGCTAAAATATTTACTGAACTAACCACAGGGGTTTTGTGCATCACACAACTCAGCTTGGAAATTTAATTATGGGTAGCCTCTAAAACTATGGGGCATTGTTTATTCTATAGGAAAGAGATCAGTTTTGGTTTTTGACTTCACTTCTCTACAACACAATTCCAACAAATATGCCCATATTACAGAAAACAAATGAAGAGCAAAAGGAATGGTGGTGCTGAAGTCCAGTTCTAAGCTTAGAGGGAAAATCTGAGTAAAATATGTAGTGAATAGCAGAATTTGAGTGGGATTGGGCTAAAAAAATACTGAAAGCTGTGGCAAATAAAGAAGATATGGGCAAAGTATGTCAAGAGTGTGGTACGAACCAAGATGACACCAACAGCAGAGAAAGGTGTGGGTTACAGTGGCAGTAAGCAGCAATAAATAGAAGTAGTGCTAAAAGCTCTTACAGAAATGTCTATTCTCTGTCTCTTTATAAAGATAAAGCACTTTCTCAAATGGAAATATTGTCCTTTAATGATTTGACTGATTAGGGTTGTTGGAAATGTCTACAGCTTAGGGCACATTCAGCTCTCCCAGGTTTGCCACAAGGGTTTTCAAACCTGTGCCGATCGATCAAACAGTGCCAAAAGCCACATCACCCCCCAGTTCAGTACCTCACCTCACCTTTACCTGCAGAACATTCCTGTATAAGACAATCTCTGTTACTAAGTTTATATAGTTACGGGCACATATATTCTTAAACTTACATTAAAATTCCTATATAATACACTGTTACTGCTGGCTGATTTTGTAGTGTTCAGCTTCATATTTTAGTACTTCAACACATTCAGTCTGATAAAATATTAATTCTTTGGAAATAATGAAAACTCTTTTCCTAGGCCCTACTATCTTACGATTTAGTCTAAAAGGTAGGTCAGCTGCTCCTAATGCCAACCAAGCCTAACCCTACTCTGAAGCCAGACAAGGACAGGGAAAGGAGAAAACCCTTGCTAGTGGGTGTACAAATGATAAACTAGCCATATAACTTTTAACACAAACAATTTGTGCAAAAAGAAGAGTTTCTTCTGAATGTTCTGTTCAGTTATCCTTACTGGGAATACTAATACTGCTTTAGAACACAAGTATAATTCAGATTGCTTAAGAAAAAGATTACAGATAAATGAACTTCAGCATTAAGAGCAATGACATTTAAACACAAACACTTTGTCTGAAGTAAACAAGAATGAATCAGGTCCTAAAGGTGCATTTAGAGGGCATCCTCCCTTGCAGAGGAAAAATACTGCATTAAAAAAAACACACCTAATCTCCATTATAAAAGTTGTGTTGTAACTAAAGTTAAATACAACCCCCTAAAGTACTCCCTCCCACACCACTAGAGGAGTGTCCACATTGGCTCAGTGCACCTGTCTGTGCTGGGGCAGATGTGACGAAGTAGTCACTTATCTTTATGTACCAGAAGTGTCTGAACAATGCTGTGATTTCATCACAGATATAATTAATGCTCTGAATTTCCAACAGGTGCTGGATGATGAATCACCAGAAATGTTTAAAACCTTTTCTCAAGAATCTCTCATACCTGGTAAACTGGAAATTAATTTTGAGGAGCTGCTGAGACAAAAAATGGAAGAAGAAAAGAGGCGCACAGAAGAAGAGCGTAGGCAAAAGTTGGAAATGGAAAGGCAAGAATTTCAACAGCTGAGACAAGAAATGGGAGAGGTTTGTACATCACACTATATGTTAAGCATGCTTTGAATAAAATGTGTCACTTCATTACTAAAATTTTAAGACTGGAAAGAAAAATTTCTCTGAAAGAAGTTTTAAGTTAATACATTCAACATTACATGAAAGGAAAGAAAAATAGAAAAAGTTATTTGTAAAACATTTTATATAATGACATTTTAAAATTACTAATATACCAGGAAAATGTGTTTATCCACTGCCACCTTTGAAGAAAGTAGAGTTACAAATTTGTAATTTGGTTTTGCAGTAATTTCTGAAAATGCTAGAGTAAAATGACAAAGTAATATTTATGCTCTTGGAAGAACAGAAATATCTAGTTCCCAAAAGACAATACAAAAATAGAAGTAAGAAAGGGCAAAATTCTTGTTTTTCCTTAGAGAAATACTGTGCTACCTAATGAGAAAAATACAGTGGCCTCAACTTTTTTCTAATTGGTGTTTCAAGGGTTTGAAGACTGGCACAGCTGATTTTAAAAATCACATACAAAATCTGCTTTACATCCCAAATGTTTAAAACACCACATTGATGAACTTCACACTTCAGTGTGGCTGTGGGTGGCAATCGTTTATTATTCCCTTTTGAAAGTCAGAGAACAACATTGATTTATTATTTTATAATTTTTGTTGCAAAGCTTGAGCAAATAGTAAAGGCTCTAGCTTGTGATGATCCCAACTCATCTTGGGGAAGCAGGGAGAGACAGGGACATCAGCTAAAATGCTTGTACATCTGTACAATCAGTCAGAGGTCATAAAATAGGGAGAAAAAGATCAGTAATTACAGCTTCCCATGTGGTTTGACTACAGGATCCACAACTGCCCTTTCTTTTTCAGCTATGACATCTTGAAATGTCATTTTTCACTGAATTAGACAAAGATAAAAAAGGCAGTATTTTATTTTTAACAAAACAGCTGTATTTTAGATACAGAATATGATACTTCATATCATACTGCAAGCAAGTAGAGGTGAATTTTGGACTCCAGGTAAGTTTTTTGTATTGGTCTGTGTCTGGTTTCCTGAACCCACAAAGGGCAGTTTATTGACAGCAACCCTTGAACAGATGGCATATTCAAGCAAGGTTTTTAAAATCTGTATCTAGTTGAGATATGACACAAATGCATTCATCATGAGGTAACGAGGAAAAAGAAAATACAGGGGAAAGGTCTCTGTACTGATTTCAAATAACTAACAGAACTGTAATGTACTGAATTACACCATCTGGGGGAGAATAGGTAGTAAAAATAATGAGGGCATTTTCCATCTTACATATTCTGTAATTTCTGAACAGCTGGAAGAAGAGTCTGAAACTTTTGAGTTAAGCAAAGAGTACGAAGAATTGCTAAAGCTAAAAAGAAGCGGTTCTATTCAGGCAAAGAACTTAAAAAGCAAGTTTGAAAAAATAGGACAATTGTCTCAAGAAGAAATACAGAAGAAGATTGAAGAAGAACGAGCAAAGAGGAGAGCACTGGATGAAGAAATAAGAGAAAGGGAAGCCGAAAAATTCCACGAGGTAAGTTGCATTCTGTGTATGTTAATGATCTACTTAACTAGCATACTAATGATCCAGGAGTGGACAATGCTGCTGCTTTCATCAAATTCTGCTGTTTCCAAGATTATGTTTTCTCTTCTTTCCTGTTCCCTCCCTTGGATGCTTAAGGCTATCACACCTCAGCATCCCTTAAGAAACAGCACTGGTTTATTACTGGTGCTTTGATCAAGCAGAGTTCTTCTTTTCTGTTCAAAGCCCTACCATTCGGCATTTTAACCTTAAATCTGTCAGTCTGAGGGCTTAAAACATATCTGAGAGTTATCTATTAATCATCACTCAAACTGCTTCTCCTTCTGAACTATTAATTCTCCTCTACATGAATTGAATAAAAAATTCAATTACCAAATCCAAACAATACCATTGAAGATCATATCTGTGTCATGTACACTCACTCCTCAGGGTAGAGCAGAAGAGGGTGCCTACTTATCTGTACTTCAGACCAGAACCTTCAGTTTTTCAGAGGGGAAACCCCAAGAAATGAAGCTATCAGTGACAAAGTTGTCTGTAATCCATAAGCTTAGTGAACTTCTGTGATGAAATGTAAAACTTTAACTAAGTTTTAGTAGTAGTACTAAGTTTTACTAAGTTTTTTAGTAGTACTAAGTTTTAAACTAAGTTTTAGTAGTAGTATTTATAGTACTAAGCCTGATCTGAGCTTCATTCTGGCTCTTCTCCACAGGAGTAACTTCAGCTTCACCTCAAAGCCCGTCCTATTAGTGAGCTTTTAATTTAATGACTGACACTCATTGTTTTCATAAGGTCAACAGTTTTAAGTGTTAAACCCATGCTAACATCATGGCAAAATACTGCAGTCACTGAGGATTTACAACTGCCAAGAAGCTCTCAACTTCTATAGGAATAGAACTTCAGGAACATTTTTTACATACAATTTTTGAAATAACTTCTGCAAAAATCTTGTCCTATCCTTGGATGAACTAATACAAGACTTGCCCTACACTCAAATAAACCTCTTAAAAAATCCAGGTCTCTGTGTGGCTCTGCTCAGTTAAAAAAAAACCTCTGGGAACACAAAACTAATTTTACTATCATATATATGTCTAAAGCAAAAATAATAGTTAAGCTGTGTTTTTAATTATTATTTCCCAAGGATGATGACGTAGATGTGATACCAGCCAAGAAATCTGAGGCTCCATTTACTCACAAGGTAAACATGAAGGCTCGTTTTGAGCAAATGGCAAGAGCCAGAGAAGAAGAAGAACAGAGGAGGATTGAGGAACAGAAATTACTACGCATGCAGTTTGAACAAAAAGAAATTGATGCAGCATTACAGAAGGTATAAATTGCAAAATAATATTCTCCAGTTGTGTCATTTAACTTAGCTTCTAATTACCACTGTAGGCAACACTACCAGATAGAAAAGGGATATTTTACTTCTTTTAGCAGGTGCTAGGAATTGCTGAAATAATACAAAATTGCTTTTGGTGTTTGCACATACTCTCCATGAAATTAAAGAATGGTTTGGGTTGAAGGGACCTTAAAATCATCTAGTTCTGACTCCCCTGATGTAGGCAGGGACACCTCCCATTACATCAGGCTGCTCAAAGCTCCATCCAACCTCAACACTTTGAACAAAGTACCAGAGACACTGCAGAAGACTTTCCATGAATAGTCTGAAAATGGAATTGACATTCATGCCTGTATCTTACACCAACATTCCAGCCTGATTAAAATGCATTTTACTGCCTGTGGCATACCCAGATTGGATGCATTGTTATGTATTGAGGACAGCTGTGGAATTTCCTCAGAAACACAGTAACGTGTAATCAAACATGCGTCACTATCAGTCATAGTGCTATTGCCACTTTAAATGTTTTAAATCAACTTATTTTAAAACAGAAAAGGGAAGAGGAGGAAGAAGAAGAAGGAAGCATTATTAATGGTTCTACTTATGAAGATGAGGATCAAGCTCGGTCTGGAGCTCCCTGGTTCAAGAAGTCACTGAAAAACACATCAGTTGTTGATGGCGAGCCAGTAAGATTTACAGTTAAAATTACGGGAGAACCAAAACCTGAAGTTACATGGTGGTTTGAAGGAGAAATGTTGCAGGACTCTGAGGACTATCAATATATTGAAAGAGGAGAAACCTACTGCCTTTATTTGCCAGAAACCTTCCCAGAAGATGAAGGGGAATATATGTGTAAAGCAGTCAACAACAGAGGCTCAGCTGCTAGCACCTGTATTCTCACTATTGAAAGTAAGAGCTAGCATTTTCATTTGCTTGTATCTCAGTCTTCTTGCATCTTTCCTGTTACAAAAATCTAACTTCCTGTCTCTCTTAACTCTTTTTCTGTTTTCTAGCTGACGACTACTAATGCTCTACTTTAGCTGGAATCTTTCTTCCCCTCAACTTTCTTACTGCATCATCTCTTTCTCTGATGGGGCCAACTGAAGAAAGCAAGGATGTGCATTAATTTGTCATTCCTGCATCAGATAAGAATATACCTTTCAAATTGTGAGAATTCCCTATTTAATGCAAAAACTAGTATCAAAGGCTAAAAATTAAAAAAAATCAATCTGTGAAAGATCAACTGAAGGAAAAAGCTGAATTATCATAGTGCTCCAGCATTTGAAGACCAACTCTTGCGTAACAATAAAGCTGAATACATGATATGGAACTTGTGTAGCAGTGTTAATCTATTGGTGTATCCTGCATGAGCACTGAATATTTAAGCTGTTTTACCTTATCCCAGAGGCACTGAACTGGCAAAGGAAATACTTACTGATGGTTTTCCAAAACCCAAGTGTACTATTTTTAAAGAATAAAGGATGATTTAACTGCTCACCATTGTTTCAAGCAGAATAACTTACTTTGTTTTAAAATGGGCTTGAATTGAAAATGTTCTGCTCTGATCAACCTATGCAGCTGATAATCTCAAATAAAAACAATCTCCTTTAGGTTTGTAGTAGTCTTTAAAGTGCCAGCACTTGCTTGAAAAGCTCATGATTGTTTTTCATCGATTAAATGACACAAACAGGTGGTGACATCTATGATTGGCTCATGTTTGAAGCTGGTAAAAAAAAAAGCCTTAAGAAAAATATTTTCATGAAGTGCCTATTTTTTCACTCTTAACGCAGTAAGTTCACTGCCACATCTATAAACATTTTCTTAAGGCTACTGTACTGCTTTACTCTAAGACCTCCTGACATCAACATTCATGTTACTCTGCTAACACCCATCTGAACCACTGAGATGAAGCTTCAGGAGAAGTAACTTTACAGAAAATAGTCACATTTTAAAGTACTTGTGTATAGGCCTTGACATAAAGGCAAGGTAAGCTGCAGGAAATTAAATTTATGCAGTCATTTCAACAAGGAATCTTCCTGTGGCTGAATCCAACTTGCAGCAGGTAACTGTACAAAGAAAGCACTCTTTGGCCTCATTACAAAATGGTAACGTGCTGCATGGTCTTTTGAATTAGTATTTACCCTAATAACCACACAAACATTTTACTTCATTTTTGTGGGTGATGTTCATTCACAGAAGTACAGGTTCCTACAATAATTTTCCTCTGAAGCTGTTACTTCAAACTAAGAAAGGCAGGGATAGGAGTATAAAAAAGACAAAAACATTTCTATTATTATTCATCAGTTTACATTTATTGAGAAAACCATACAAAAACCATTATACAGTTAATGTGTACCCATATTACATACAATGTCAATGCAAGCTCAAAACCACAGTTTTGTAAAGCATTCAATTTACCTCAAGTCCAAGCTGCATCTCCCTAAGACACTGTTCCCATCACAGTTGCCTTTTAAAGCCAATCTTCTGTTTACACACGGGTAGTTTCTGCAGAGAACACTTTTTCTCAGGACGAAAAGGCATTTCACATGCACGCAAGAGAAATATTTGTGCATACACAAGAGTTTCATAAGCTATTACTAGGGAAGAGGGAATCCTGTCAATTGTATGCTTTCTGAAAAGCCCAGTCCTCCCTTCCTCCCCCCACTTCCAGAAAAAAAGCAAAATGGAAAGGCTTTTAGCATGCAATGGAAAACTTAAGAATTACTTTGGAAAAGAAACAGGGAGAAACAGTTTCTACCATCCAATAAAATATCACTAGTATAAAGATGAAATACTTCAAGATAGGCTGTGCAAGTGAATTGTGATCCTGTCTGCCTGACAAGTGAAACAGATGACTTATAATTAAGCCATGCTAGAGTATCCACCTGGTATTTTATTCAGTGTCCTAATAAAGTATAGACTGCAGAAAGTGATATGAAAAGTCTTTTCCTACTTGGAACATTATGCTTGCTTTTAAAACTTTTCTTACTCTTCACATTCATTGTGGGACACTAAGCAGTGATGGGTGGAGTAAGCAGGAAACATTTCAAGACACCTTTTGGACAAGTTAATTGCATTTCTAAACAAGTCCAGTTATCTTTTTAGCTACTGGGGTAACTCCAATAATCTACTGTTGTCCCAGGACCTCTGAGTTTGGAGACAAGAGTTGAAAAAGAACAGGAACACTACGCTCTGCACAAACCAGCACACCTGTAAGCCCTGCAGTGAGAAAGCTGGAAGCCAATACACTCAAATGCTACACAGAAGAACATCTCACCTTCCACACACTAGAACATCCCAATACACTGGCTTTTTCTTCTCTATCTCCTCCCACAGGCTAAATTAGCAACTGAAAGACTGTTCAAGATATTTCAGGAGTAACAGTTGAAGGAAAGAGTACCATGTAAAAAGGAAGTGAACAAATGACTCACCCCCACACTAAATCCACAGTATCAAAATCCAAATGGTACACACCTACCCTTCTCACGTCAAAAATGAAGTTACATGTTTAACTACACATGAAATACTAAGTGGCTTGAGAAACTGAAGCACAACTATTAATTCAGTTCAAAAATTAGCTTGACTGTTTAGAAGAATATAAAGTAAAATAGATGGTTTATATTATTAAATCACAGCTTAAAAAACTTTAACAGATTATGGAACATTAATGGTCAAACAAAGAATACTTTAAAGAATGAAAAGTGATCAAAACAAAAATTATACCCTATATCATTATGTATGGGATACATTTCAAATCTGTTATGCTTTTGCCAATTTTACCTTCTACATGGAGCCCTTCTATGGTCCATGCTCATCGGCTCACCAATGGCATACACTCAAAGGATTCCTCTTTACTGGTAGTAACTATCTCAGGACCTGATTCTATGAGCTATGATTTGGTGCTTGCAGCATCTTCAGCACTGTGTGTGAAAATGAAGGCAGTATTTTTGAATATTTTTCTTTGATGCACAAATAAGCAGGACTTTTGAAAGAGGAGCAGCACATTTTATAACCAGAATAATGAACAAAAAACCAAACAGATGCTGCTTTATGTTAAGCTAAAAAAACCAACAACAAAAGCTCAGATTAAAAACCTGTACCAGACCATCTGTAAGACATTTAGCATTTTATACTATCAAAATATTCAGCAATTCAGTTAAAAATATCAAGAAACAAGATACACTGACTGCTATAGCAATATAATATTATTTGCTGTACTGTTAACTGGTGCTCATGCTTTTGCAGTTAAAACATACTCATCTCAAACTCCAAAATCTCTTTTCCTACCCTGTCAAGTATGAATAAGCAAATTCCACTAACACACTATAACTGTAAGACAAGTTATCAAGTTCAGTGATAACAACAAGAAGTCATTCTTTACATTTAGGTCTTACGGATTAAGTGGGAATAGTGCCCTCTTATAAAAAAAAAACATTTGTGAAGGCTGTTGACATTTCTAACCAAAGCAATTCCTGCACATTTTAAAGGTTTTGATTCTTTAATTGCAACAATTATCTATTTGGGTAAAATAACAAAAATTACTTATTCTGATTAAGTTCAATTACTGCAATCTAATAATCTTTCCTAAAAAAAAAAGAAAAAAAAGGAAAAATGAAAAAAATACATATTGACCTAGAAATATAAACAGTTGTTTAAAAACTTAAGATTTTCCATTCAAATGGAACCGTGAGTAACAATGCATTTGGGGAAGCAGCAGATTGCTTTTCAATACACAACCACAAAGATCTCACAGGGACAACATTAATGTACTGAAATATATTAATTTATATACTTCCTTAGGTTGTGCTTACCTGTTGCTTTTTTGCAGCAGAACCTAAGGTGGAAGGTCTGGGAAGGCACTGTGAAGTATAAATAATTGCACTGTTTGCAATTAATAAAGATTTTATACCTTAAATGAATCAAAATCAACAGCCTCCATTTTGTGAATGATAAAGAATCCAGTGAATTTAATTTTGCTCAGTTTAGTACATAATAAATGCACCATTCTGTAAGGTTATCTACAAAATACCATGCAAACTACCTGAACTATTAAACTTAATACCCTACACTAAAGATAGCAATACTGTCCTAGCCTTCTTCAAGCTACCAGCAAATTCCTAGTTTTAAAAGGGATAAAAATAATTCTTTCTATTTCTACAGCACAATACATACATTGCTGATTACCTGAAAAAACTACTTCAGTTTTCAAGCCTTAACTTTTACTTCTCTGTGCAGCCACCCTAAAAAATTTATTCTCAAAGCAACAACATGGTGTTCCAAAAATTAAAAGCAATTAACAGTTATAGAATTATTTAACACATACCTACATCACTATATATCCACAAACTATCTGGAGACAAAGACAACTCTGTCTAACAAGTGGTTCCAAAGACTTCAATGTTATGATATGCATACTTTAAAACACTGAATGACAGCTGTCTCATGAGTACTAATGAAAGAAACTCTTACTCAGATAAACAGAAACATGATTTTCTTTAGCTATTGCTAAAAGTTTCAGAAATACTTACCCACAAAACTCAGATTATGTGTATGTATATATAAGCAAACCTATGTTTCTGAATTAAGAAGCAATTATGATTTCCTAAGATACCAGCACTGTATTCCAACATAATATCACACAAGTACAGCATTTGCATTATGTGGAACATTGACAAAAAGATACTGTTGCAGTTCATCAATTTGTCATTCTGATGTACTTACAGTGCAATGCTCCTTGAAGGAACAATCAAGGATGATACACAGCACAGTCCTCCTCACCCCTATAGAGCTAGTTCTATACTGGCTGGATCAAACCTGCACTTCAACAGACAATGGCAAGACAGACTGTAGTGCATGTAGTCTAATATATGCAAAGAGCCAATAAATATGCAAAGAGCAAACATATGATTTCAAGAGAATCAGCTTTTTAGTATGAGCATTAGAGCAATAAGAAGTTTCAAGTATATATAAAAAAATAATCAGTTGATTCAAATACTTGAATATTTACAAAAAGAGAAGTTATCTGCTCTGCAGGAAGTTCTCAACCACTCCCATCACTCAAACAAAACAGCGTTTTAAGGACAGACACAATCTTTGTAACTACTATGCATTACCACATTGACTTTTCTACACTGAATTTTGAAGTGGACTACTTTAAACTGAAGGCTTAAGCACATTACACTTCAAGTAAGTTTTATAACTAGTCTGAAAAAATCCGTAAAATAGTTATGCAGGAACAGTTTTGAAGTATTCAATTAAAAACAAAAGTTATCTGTTATAGCAGCTGCGCAAGTCTGAAACAGTGGTCACGTATAAAAGGAAATTTCACTGTTAATGCAATGGAAGTATGCCAAAAGATAATCTTCTTAAACACATGCATTTTTAATCAAGTAGAAAGAAAATTAAGGTATCAAGATTACTGGTGCTAGGCAGCAAAATACAATGAATGAAAGAGATCCTCCATCTACAGCTATTCTGCAAGAGGGGAAAAACATGCT